TGTGTGTGTGTGTGTGTGTGTGTGTGTGTGTGTGTGTGTGTGTGTGGCGAGACTTTCAGTCACACATGATTTTTAAAGATTCAATGTCCGTAACATTAATCTTGATATCCTTAACATTTGCAAAATCTTGTTGTTTGCCGTTACGTTCAGTAGGCTTCTGGGAAAGCTCCCTAAAGATGAAGTATTTTGGTTTTGTTTTAAAGTTGAGGCTTTATTGGGTGAGCCGTACAGTATGCTGACCTCCTGTTAGGTCCTATTACATATCTCACAGAATGTAAAAAACGTTATTGTTCATTAAGAATCTTATGATAGCTGTAAAAAAGGGTGGAAACAAAAAAAAACTGTACCGTATTTGTCATGCGAGGCCATGAAATCTTTTACGTAGATGTATCACTTGAAACAAAAGAATAAAATTCAAATACAGTTTTATTTGACTCGTCTTGGATGTCTGTTATTATTTTACCTTATGCTTCTCTATATGATGTTCAGAGTGTTACTATAGCAGCAAACCGCTGTTTGTAATGTAAAGGTAGTAGTATAATGTCTATCTGTGTTGTAATACAACTTTCTGTGTGCTTTGTTTATGTAGCCAGCATGTTAGCGCGTGTGCCCAACTGGCTAGCTTGCGGTCGCCGCTCTGCACTGCTCTCATACGGTGAGGATAACATCCTGTTCTGTCGTTGCAGCCCTCCGGCTTCCCCCTCAGGTAAACACTGTCAGCACTGTTGCCCTCGTTTGCACTGTTGGCGCTCTTAGCACCGTTAGCTGCGAGCCGCCACCACGTTGAGAGCTGTGTGGAATCGCAAGATTTGCTCCGAATCTTGTATTTAGCTCTATTTAAGCTGCATCAGATCATTTTGAACTTTAGAGCCTCCAAATAAAGGTCTCTGAATTTTGATTGCCTCTTTATAAAGGTGCTGCAGGAATGAGTCCTAAAACACAGAAATGATTTCGCATTTTTTACACTTCCGGGCTCCAGTTTTTTTGAATTAGTTTTTGGTTAAATGCCTGAACCTGTGTTTGCCACAGAACGAATTTTCTACAAAGATCCAACAGAAAGATCCGATTGGCGTTTTGTTCGAGGGAACCAGTGGGAGCTAACTTCCAGGGTTGACCTCCAACAACACGTCATTACTGATGTCAGTGTCGCGTTGGTTGTTCCGCTGCTCCCAAGAGGACAAAGCATGAACAGAAAACAATCAATGCAGCTTTAAGACAAATGTTTTCTCTGTTTTTTTTGCACACAATGAATTTTTACAAAATCTGGTTTATTTTCCATCGTTAATTTACATGAAGCATTTTAGTTTTATCAGACATTCTTGCTTGGAGATGCCCAGTGCAACCCCGAGGGTAGTCGGGGGTTAATGCCTTGCTCGAGAGCTGTTAAAGCAGAGAGGAGTGATATTCAGTCAAAGGCCTTACGGCGTTCTTTCACACAGCACAGGAACACAGTGCTTTGTGTTTTCATATGTATACAGTAATCCTCATGGTAACTCAAATCTAACCGTTAACTAGTTACAAGGATTTGGTTTGTATGAAATATTTAGGCAGCGCTTTTGAGCCATGGAAGGTTTAAAAAATTACAACAAAAAAACCATCACCTTCAGTACTGAATTTGAAATGTAGATATTAAGCTCACAAGATCTTTAACCCTTTACGTACCTGTTCACACAGTGAACTCACTTGAGGCCAGCAGCAGCACTATTATATATCACTAGACACAAGTGTGCGTAGCAAAAGTCTGAACCAGATTAGCGAGGATGATAAAGCACAACCTACACTGTTAAAGGTTTTGGTTAAATCTCAAGCAGTGTGCCGATTTTAAATGTCCTAAAAGTAGATTATAAAAGTGGTTAAAACATGTGATTTAATTGGAAACTCTATCTTCCAACATTTATTGGTTCCTGTTTTGCCTTTTACTATTTTATAGTATTTTAATAAAAGAAAGCACATTACAGAACAGCAGGATAAATGCAGTCCTCACAATCACTGTTTGAGTGAGTATTTCTATCCGATTGCACGATAATGCACCTGAGCGCCAGAAATGTTAGACCATCAGGATATTTTGGAGATAAAATATCAACAGACTACTACAGAATACTGTTCAACAAACAAATCCAGTCGGTATGCTTTGCCGTTATTGTGACAAAATAACACCATGTATAAAACGATATGGCTCACATTCAGGGCCGGAGCTGTTTCTAATTGCACTAACCAAAACCCTATAGTATAAAAAAAAAAAGTGTCTTAAGTACATCCCTGTAATGAGACCTCAGTGCATATCATGCAAGTAACAATTTAAAGTCCAGTCTGTCCCTCCTGCACACTCCTGCAGAGGGAACGGCCGTGACAGGACGCCTTTGATAAAAACTTGTCTGGATTACCAGCAGCCTCTTGTTGGGGGTTAATGGACAGAGCTGCGTCTCCTCTGGTTTACTAGTAGGTGGCACTGTGTCGGACATCAGACCTTTGGTGGAGGTACCGGCCTCAGAGCCTATAGAGGACAAACCACAAAGAAATGCCTTAATTGACTAAACTGTGAGGGATGGTTGACATTTTCTGTTGAAACACCTTTCATTCTCTTTCCTGCCGAGAGTTAGGTGAGAAGATCGACACCACTGACATGTTTGTACGCTGAATAAGAAGCTTCAGCCAGTTAGCTTAGCTTAGCTTAGCATAAAGACTGGAAGTAGGGGGAAACGGCAATCCTTGCTGTGTCTGAAGGTAACACAATCTGCCTAACGACACCTCACTAATTAACACATCTTGTTTGTTTAGTATAGAAATGTGAGTTTGTGGTTTTACGGGGGATCATGTACTGGACTACTTCTTTGCAGGTGTCAGCTGCAGATGAAACAAGCGAGATATCATTTTCAGTAGCGAGCATCATAGGCTGCTGGTGGGTGGATTTTGTTACCTTTGGAAAGAGCTGGCTGTTTACGTGTCTTGAGCTAGGTTAGCCAGTTAGCTAGCTAACAAGCGGTTTGTGATTGAAAAATGTAGGATCTCACTGCCTAATTACGAGAGATGCACTGATGGCAGATATGGATCCAATGTCTCTTCCACACAGCGAGACTTACAGCTTATTAATTCAACACTGGTGTCGGATCGGTGCTCGGTATCGGCCGATACTCAAAGCCCAGGTTTTGGTATCGGGACTGAAAAAGTTGGATCGGTGCGTCCCTTCTGACCACTCGTGTTCATTGGACATTAGTCATTCAATCAGATTTTGACGAGAGGAGAAACCTAAAACGTGTGATCTAGCCAGTGCTCTTCTTCTGTGGCTCTAATAGAAGCTGCTAACACATGAAGGAACACATGGCATCCCAGTAGGCACCAATTGGAAAGGCATTGTTTTGTAGCGGATGAAACCATTCATGGATGAAACCATGAAGGACCAGTGAAGGAGTTTGTTCGACCGGTTACCTGGCGTGCAGCCGTGTAGTTCTGGCCCGGGGGTTTTGGTCTGTTCCCTGCTGGAGGCGGTGGAGGTGCTGCTCCTTTGGGTTTCAGCCTTCCAGCCTAAAATTTCAAGTAGCGTTAGTGAATGGATTTCACAGTAATACAATGTATCCAAGCTCAACACCAACACATTACCTGCACTGGCACGGGCTGACTAGGGAATGGCCCTTTGTTGAGGCGGTGAGCGGAGCTGTCCACTGCTGGCTGCTTCCTCTGGGTGTGTGCTCTAGTTTAGAATGACAGATTTAATGTGCTTTGCAGAGGTGAGTTTACAGTGACGTGGAACTATAATATGGTGGGAATTACTTACGTTGGCAACACAGGACTTTGCCGCCTTTTCCAGATGATTCCTACCACACCAGCAATGATACCTAAAGCCACTAGTATAACCGTCACCACGATGGCAGCGGTTGCTCCTGGAATAGAAATCAGTTTTGTTTGGGTTCGTTGTGCAGAACACTTTCTACACTGTATGCATTTTGAACAACTGCAGCTGGGTCTTACCAGGTGAAAGAGATCCAAAATCTCCATCCTTGGAATCGCAGTGAGGAGGCACCCAACCGGGCTCACACTGACACTCACTTCTGTGATTGCACACCTGAATGAACACAAAGGAAATCCGCCGTTATCACATGTTGTGTTTCATGGCACCATGCAGCAGCAGCAGCAGCCCTGTTATTGCATGGCACCAAACTAACCAGCAGTCTGGCTCATCTCCAATGTTTATTAACTCTTTTTTCAAATTTGACTTTACCCATACCCAACCGTATTTATCTATCTTTTTTTATTCTTTCATTTTTTACTTTTTTATGTACAATTATTACAAACACAAGACATAACACCCAGTACCATAAATATATATTTACCATATATATTTTATTTTATTTTACATCTGCAAGTGTGTGCCTGATTTGATTCCTGTAACATTTATTTTTTCAGTTAACTTCAGTAATCCAGCACAATGTGCACCTTCCTACGGGATTCACATATTTAAATCAAGGCTTGAAGCTCATTGGGTGAGACGAACAAGACCTTTCACACCTTTGATCTACTTTAGCAGTTGTACACGATGCCTGATTTTTATTTTTTTGTCAGCACACAAAACAGCTGTATCTTATTTTTTTCCAGTTTTCTATTTCTCTTCGTGCTGATGTTTTATAATTTTAGGGTTCATCTTTTTTTTGTTTTGTTTAAGACCTTTTGGGTTTTTAACACTTTTAATTTTTTTAAGTATTATTTTTGATACCTAAATAACATAAATAATTCAGACCAGTGTCGGCATGTACTTACAGCATGGCCTGGGCATTTGGCTGAACAGTTTACATTTCTGTACGCTGTCTCAAGCTCCACACACTCGTTCTGGCTGCACACCTTGAAAAAAAGATGAAAGTCATCGTCAAAGACGTCGTTACTTTGACAAACGTTGTAGATTTGGTGCTGCAACGTTGAAAAGTGTGGACGTGTTAAGGGGATTTCTCTCGGTTGATCGTGGCGCGATCGTGAACACATTCACAGAATGAATGAAATCTTTTTTTTAAACAATACAACATTACCTTTCCATCCCCACAATACGTCCCGGTGTCCACCTGGCCGTAGTCTTTGGTGTAGTCCGCAAAGAAAGCTGCCTTGCAGTCGGAGACCCTCACCATGCGGCCGTAGTTGGGGCTGTCATTACCACCGTGGCAGAAGAGCTTCCCGCAAAACACGTCTCTGCAACGGAAGAGAGGGTCAAAAATATGCTCTCCCATTCACTTCGGGCCAAATCTGACTTAACTCTGCCAAACAAAGGAAACGTCAAAGTAAACATTTAGCCCACCACAGATGAGTCTGGGCCCATTGCAGGGGGAGCATCCCGCCGAATGTTTCACTAAAAACTCACTCTTGCTGGCAGGGGAGGAACTTGTCGTTTGCAGGACGCCTGCAGAAGGCGTAGTAGGTTGCTCTGGTGTTCTGTTTATAGCAGAATGGACGGGCCTCTATGGCGCCTGAGGACAGAAGAGGATACCATGCACGGCTTTAGGTATGATAGTTCTAAATAGTTAACCCATTCAAATATGATCTCTTTTCCTTCACAAAGTAGGGATGTATAAAGGGACACAACACTAACGAACAGGACACTCACTTGGTCCATACATTTTGACACACTGGTCTGCCCTCTGTGGACACTGGCCTTTGTGGCAGTATCCCCGGTCTCCGCCGCACCGGAGGCCGTTCACGGCGAAGACGTCCGCGGGACAGGTGGCGCTCTCCCCGTCACAGTACTCAGCCAGGTCGCACTCGTCCCGCCTCCAGCGGCACTCCGTGGTACGAGGCGAGACCTGCATGGAGGTGGGAGAGTCACGGTACACTCGATCAGATTACATATTGTGTTATTGTATCAGCCCCCTGCTCGAAAGGGATATGAACAGACAATATCTCTGCAAACTGCAAGGTCTAGTTGAATAATACAACTGGGTATATGTGAATGAAGATGGAACACAACGAAAATGAAAGATGTCATTTTGGCCGAACAGAACTGTACACTTTTACAGCAAATATCCCTTCGGAAGGATGCAGTTGCAGCCCAAAACCTCTGGCAAACCATATCTGACATCTGGAATGACGCGAATAAAGTGAAGCAAAGTGAAGTTGGAAAAGTTGTAGTGGAGGTGTTTTAAGATCCATTTGGGTACCATCATCTGTGCCATTAGAACTGTTCTTCAGTAACTGTAAATGTCATTTAATTTCACTTACGTGTCACTATAGGTATTAATTCCATCTAAATAATAAACTGATGGATTTTTCAAAACAAAGCCAAAAACAATCAGACCTCTATTCGTGTTCTTATATATATTTTTAAACGATAACCCTATGTGGACAGTGAATGTATGTAGTACCACTATTCATCCACTAGATGGAGACATACACCACGTTTCTACATGCAAGGCTGAGGATAGGAAGCTCAATGCCGGAAGAAGGCCGTGTGCAAAACACTCCTCCATGCCCTGCGAATTAACCCAAAAATGATCCAGAGGCACTGGATGAGTCGTCGGCAGCGTCGATTCGCCCTTGGACACAACTTTTGGTCAGAAAACAGCAAAGGTAAGACATCATCTATGGCTATGATCATGTAAAGTAAAGGTTTCTTTTTTTTCTGATCTTCGGCTGCTAGTTCAGTGACACGGCTTCTACTGTTGGAGTCTCAGCTTTCATAGTGACGTTTGTGCAGGTAGCAATAAGTAGCAATATTTGCTAGCACCACTATGTGCGCATGCACAGTTAGCATGTTTTTGCTTCGTGCTCAGTTAGTTGCCTGGTGTTGGAGTTGTGTTTGGTTAAGGTAGACATGGTTATCATGAGGTATGTGGATGTATCCACAAGTACCGCCATGTAAAGCATGTGGAAGGAAAATGTATGTGTCTTAAAATGTATCAACGTGTAGTCATATCCATAATCTGATATAGGTTTTTATCGTGGTCATATGTTATTCAAATCACTGAGGCAGAGTGTATGTGCCCTCTTGGTAGCCTCAACCTTGTGACCTTTAAAGCACAGGTAAAGAAAAGTTCCCTCTTTTTAGAGACTACGTCTCAATTGTGTGCATGGGAAACAGGATGCCGAGCCAGGTGGTAAAAAGGTCGGACAACAACTAGTGGAGTGTCCACTGATGGCGGGTACAGAGGAAACCAGGAAATAAGTATACAGAGCGCTGCGATACATGGGAACCAAGGGATCCGTTGGGAGACGGGAACCCGAGGCTCGCAGCCTGTTCTCATGTACAACTCATCACTGAAGGTTAAATAAGAATGTTTGCAATAAGGCTTTATGGCCAACCGAGCGATGTTTGGTTTTAGCGGGTAATCACAGAGACCCGGAGACCAGGCGGTGGATCGGTAGAGGGCGAGGAGCAGATGTGTGTGAGAGTGAGATTTCTAACTGGTGGGAAACAGCAGCAGCTCACGGTGACCGCTGCTGTGTCATCAGAGGGAGACGGTAGGTTAGCTTAGTTGTTGAGTGTTGGCTGCATTGTCAGTTTAATGTGATTTCTTAGGTTTGACAAGTGATCATTTTGATTTTTCACTCTCACAGTTGTATTTTTCTATTTAATGAAAAACTGATCGGTAGATCTTATTTGTTGGTCTTTCTTCTCTCTGATTAATCAAACAGCCGGTGGTGCATGTCTTTTTAGGACTCTAGAGACAAGGAGACAGGAACCCTGAGGGGGTCTCTAGGGACCGATAGGTTACCAGACCTGGGACAGAGTGATGTACTGTGGAGTCAGTTGATCCAGGAACAGCTCGGTTTGCTTGTAGTCTGTGTGATGCAAATAAACCTACATGGAGTGTAGATCCAGTCTGTCTTGTGTTCTGTGGGTGTTCGCTACTGAGTTCCTGATAGTGAGATCCTGTGGTGTCTCACCATTAGTCAGAGAGCTAAAATGTATTAAGTCAGCAGTTAGGTATTAAGTTTTAACAATAAGTCATATAATCAACGAAACTGCTCATCACAAATCAACCACTACAAGCACCATGACACTGCCTCCGTGTATGACGTAACCATGACATTCTCTCTGTTGTTCACCAGTTGGTCTCTTATTGTGTGTGTCTGCTGTCTGCTGCTGAGCAGATAGTGTTTAGTGGGTTGGCCTCGAACAACTCTATGACAGCAGTGAGACTGAACGCCCACATCAGGACAGCTAAACAGTGAATATCAAGGAGCTGCAGCTTCAGGTGATAATACGAGTGGCTTCTTTCACATTGTAACATCGTTTTTTACATTGTCTTTTTTATTTTATTTTTATTTATTTATTTAAAAGATATATATATATATATATATA